AAGTAGGGGGGTTACCCTGATGCTATGGTTCGTTTCAGCCACTGTCGTTGTGGAATTGTGAACATTACATAGTTACCAACCTAAGAGAGATTAGAAATGCTTGGTGACTACACCAGTTGGCGAGGGGAGGGGGGAGCGGAGCGTTGCCTCAGCTGATCTGACGATCTGAGCATTTAAGCTGTTTTAAAACAATTTCAGGGAGTGTTTGTTGACAATACTGGGTACATAAGCAAAAGTATTTTTAACAAAGCCATGTACAATTAGAGTTTCAATGTACATTTAATTTGAGCACCTGAACTATGTAGACCTACACAAAAATTTCAATGATCAATTTTTAGTAACGTGTCAATGAAATAAATATTCACGTAAATGCTGTTCTCTCTAATGACTCAAGTTACTGCAAGATACTTTTTATGTTTTTAATAAAAACCAATTTCTTCTATTAAATTTTAAATACATTCTCCCCTGAATTTGTGATAATTCATTAGCACGCATAGACTAGTGCTAAATGAGTAACAAATTTAGGATCACGCATGTGTTTCTGCAAAATGTGTGTTCCGTCCAAAATCACTTCGAAATGCTGGACTGTCCCGCATGATGCGAGACGGTTGGTAACTATGACATGACACTACTAAAGCACCTCTATGGCTGCTAGGTAGTCATGGACCACATCCATATGCAATTCAGCACAATGATGCTGCAACATGCAAATTTTTATTTATTTCTTTTTAATGATTCACTTAAAATTTCAAGGTAAAACATTTAACAGATAGAAATGCGAATCACTACAAGGCCATAAGGGCAATATAATTAATTAATAATGTATTTTGAAGGTGAAATTTTATATGCATTTGGATGTGCATAATATTTGGTAATGTTCCTAAACAGTTTACCCTATTCTTAATACACTATTTTATTTTTAAAAAATAGCTTGTTTAAACATTATAGATATATATAGGGGCATCACTGAATGCATGCTGTAATTAGAATTTATTGTAAATTATTTCAATTTTGACTACGGCTTTTTATGTGTGGGTGTTCTTGTGTGTGAAATGCAAATCTCAATGTAAATATTCAATCACTTTATACAGTGATTAGAAAATGTTAATTTTTAAATTTACTTTTTTTTTTGTTGTGTGCTTTTGTCGCTGTTGCCTTTTTATCTTGTTTCATATGAATTTTATGAATTTTTCTTGTAAATATAATTATTTAACTATAGCAACTACAATTTTTTTTTGTAAATATAATTTTTTAATATTTGCAATTTTGAAATGTTTTCTGAATTTAATGTAATTTTTAAGCAATTTTGTAATTTTCTTGTAAATAAAACATTTTCAGTCAATTATTTTTTGACTGCTATTGTATGATTTTCTGATGTTTTGAAGGTGCAAAAAATACCTCAATTTATATATGATTTGTCAAAAACAGGGGTCATTAGTTGGAAGAAATGCCTTCCAGGAGATTTGGTTAAAATGAACTTTCTTAGCACACTGATTTCATTTTACTCGACATGGTGGTACCCATCGTCACTGATTTCTGTGAGACAATTAAAAATAAAAGTAAAAGTAAAAGTATGCAAATTTTATGGATTTGCGGGAAAGGGGTTACTTTCCGGGAGATTCTTGCTTGCGGGAGTGCGGGAGGCTATTCCGATTTCCGGGAGACATCCGGGAGACTTGGGACCGCTGCAAAATAATAAATACACAATTTTTTTTTTCATTTTTTTAAAGAGAAATTTTGAGTATGAATTATAAGTTCTTGCTTTGGGTAGTTAAACTTATTTAAACAATAGTTTATAAAATTTGTTTCGGTGCTCTCTCTGGGCCCTAGCTTTCGGATTAATATTGAAATAAATAAAAATAAATATGCACTAAACCAAATTTAGCTATGGTGGTGCAGCTTTATTTATATTTAATTATAGTAATTGTTTAAAAAAAAATTAATTATATTTGTTCTTTTTCTGTTCTGTAATCGAACGTTTGGAGTTGCCATAGATACAGTAGACACCTTTTTTTCTTTCATGTTTTGTATTGGCTCTACCATGACAATTCAAGCTTAGAAAGTGAGAATTGAGTCGTACAGAAAAACTCTGTAAAAATCATATGGGAACAAAGTAGGAGAGAAAAAAATGAACAAAAGCAACACATAAACAGCAAGACATAATATTCTAAAGTAATAACAATAAAAATTATGATTAATATTTAATTCTACTGTTTTGATGACAGAAATTTAGTTGACATAGACCCACATTCATGTATGGTAATTAAGTTAAAGACAAGCCAATAATGTTTTAAATAGTGTGCGGTTTCTTAGATTGTGAAATTATTGTCACTTAAGAGAGAGGAGAGTATTCAGTGATTTTAAGCTAATTGTCAATTCACAACTAAGAGCACTAAATTCTCAAATGTGTTACAGCCATCAACATTAACGCATTCATGCTCAATTATAAATGGCGAAAAAGTTTATCCTAACGGCAAGGCCGAGTAGAAGGTTCTGCAAATCAGAAACAACATCAACGCATTTGCCTAAGTGCTGACCTTTGCCCCGGTTCATCAGAGCACCTGTTGACCAGGTGAACAGGACGATCTATTAGAAACCAGTTCAATGTCAAGACAGGCAACTCTTTATTGGAATCCGATTTCCCGTACCTCGTGTAATAATAAACGCTGATTAACATCTTTATAATCTATGGTACAGATTGAGATTTAAATCACTTCTTTTAGCATCATAAAAAAAAATTGTTTTCCATGCTCCCCATACAGGGAATTGAATTTAACATATTGTTTCAATTTATTTGAATTATTTATACTGCTAAACCAATTTTGTTCATCTATGTCTTGGCATCGTTTGTTAAAATTATAAATGAAAGCCGTTTTCAAATTCTATTGAGAAACATCCCAACACAATTTACTTTTCACTAATTTACAGACTCTCTAAAAACTGAGTACCAGACTTAAAGGTCAATGCAAGACATAGGAATGGTACAATTTATGAGTTGAAATCTAACAACATACACAAATATATAAATTAAATCAAATATTTAAGTTTATTGTTTATTAAGATATTAACACAGGCAGTAAATCGTTAGAATTCTTGAGTGGTCCATATTTTTTCAATAGAAATAAAAAGTCAAATGGGACAATAAAACTGTTTACTCCTCCGAATGAACATAAAAAATACAGAAAGAACAAATGAATTAAAATGTTGGTTCCATCCTCTTGCAGTTAGAATCTGAGAACACAATTTTTCTCAAATTCCACTATTCCCCTGATGTCATATGAGAAGTTGCTATTAATATGTCGGTCATATATTGCATTTACTACCGTGGTCATCGGATCAAACACTATTGAACAAATATAGTTCCCTGGGGGACATATTCCGTAATCCCCCGGGGGAATATTCCATATTGTTGCCACTGTTAATCAGCTTTATCTGTGCCTACACACAAACCCAAACACTTCGGGACTGAGAGAGGCAAAAACCAAACAAAACTGGCCAGCCTTGCACACGCGAGACTCGTGATCTTTCGATTAAATGTAGCCCAAAGCATTTCCGCTCAGCGACACGCTTTCTCATTTGAATACTATTTAGTTAGAATGATGTTTGTGCAATAATAACAACTTTATTCCTGAATCAACAGAAATATTAACACATTATTTTTCAGCAAGGCCGTGTCCTCAAACTACTTCATAGATGACTGCTCTAATAAATCACTTTAATGCAGAATTAATTCAAGATGTACAGTCTGAGCCAAAAAAAAAATTATATATATATATAATTCATATCTTAATTGCTAAATTTGAAATAGGATACCAAGTTAAAATAAAGAAATTGAAGGAGAAAAAAAAATGGACAATCAAACAATTCCTTTCAATTGGATGGTAACAATTTAGCGATTTTTATCTCTGTAAATCAGTGAAAATTGTTTATTGTTTTCAGTCTGTTTCTGGATAGACATTATTAACTTATTTCAGACTTAAATGAGTTATAATATAGTTATAGTTTTAATAAGTTAATTAAATCCCCCACCTGCCCACCCCCCAAAAATCTTCAGCGTACTGCGCTTGCACAGATATACTCTATGTTGTGATAGTGAAAAATTTCTGTACAAATGAATGTATTCATGTTTTCTGCAAAATGGAATGTACTAATGTTCATTCCAGTTCATTTCATTTGACAAGCATGCCGAGTACAGTGTGGATATATTTTTTTTTTATCACGGAGTTGGTAATTGGTCCTAAGATAATTCAGATTCTGATTCTATGTTGAGGATCAACGGCTGGTAGCACCTTGTCCGATAAATGACTATAGAGTAGAGCTGAATAGCTTAGTTTGGCGAGTCGATTGGCCGAGCGGTTAAGACAGAGGAACTGTGACATATAGCCATAATATCGGCGCTGGTTTGAACGGCACGCTCGCCTATGGTTCCGGTGGTGGAACAAGTCTTCTCGGATAAGGACTCTAACCCGTAGGTCCAATGTACACAATTGGCTCGTGTGCACTTTAAAAGAACCCAGTACATCATTTGAGAAGAGTAGGGGGTTACCCCGGTGTACTGATTCATCTCTACTCCCCTGTCCGGCCACAGAAGGAGCGCTCACGATGCCGCCCATGTCAGGCACCCATCCTACCTGCGAATCCTTCTACCACGCTACACAAGCTAGATCATACACACTAGCTATGTAGTGATTCGATAAGAAGAAGAAATAGCTTAGTGGTTAAGATCTTGCCTTCTAATCCCAGGGCCCTGGGTTCAATTCCTGTGACAATAAGACTTTTTCTCATGACCAAAACGACTCCACTCCCTAAGTCTCATGAAGAGACTTAGCTGATAGAAGCATCAAGGCTATAGTAATTATGAAAAATGAACAAAACAATAATGGGACAAATAAATTTTTTTTATGGCAATAAAGTGGTATAATATATAAATATAATAATAAAACAAATTACATATTAAATAATATTTTTCTGGATTGAAACTAAATGTAAATAATATTTCATTATTTTGGAAACCTTCTTTCATTTGTTGTTTGAAGATTTTTATGCATCATCAGATGAGAAAATATTATATATAATTACTACACATTTTTGCTGACAATTACCATACATAAACAACTATATGTACTGTACAGCCGAAATAATCAATCTCACTCCATTAAAAACTATACAACATGCATGGCTTTTCCCCATAACACATGAAAAAACAGTTACAATAATTTATCAAGAGGGATGTCAGTAAACACATAAAGAGCTTTATGACCATTGAATCCAATTAATCACAAATAAAAACTTTCAACCAATTATGAAATCTATTCGTACGTTGTGCATTTATTCGGAGTTAAAAAACACAGCATTACACTCTATATCCAAATCGACGTATATACTACAAGAAATCCAGGACACGGCCCTATGGGTCATAATTTTAACCAATGCTTTGAGCTTATTTCTAAATGCAGTCCGAGAATAACTCTGCGAAAAAAAACAAACGGAGAAACAATTAATGTATGAACTCCTTTGTTTGACCTATAAAATGACCGCACTAATGGCTTTACACTTTAAACCAACCGCGTTCAATGTTGGAAACAGCAGCTGCATCTTAACGCCATCACGGTTTAACTCTTCTAAAAAGTCCTAGTTTTAAAAATTGCATCCAAAATTTCGCAACTAATTTTACTTTAGTGAATAGTTAACTTTTCGAGCATGGTGTTAAATTTTTCGTCCCGCCACAGACAGGGATGAAAGTAGCACTTTTACAACTGAGCTGTTAAGTAAATATGGTTTATTTGTTAGGATTGGTATGAGAAATGTACAAAATGTAATTTATGTAAATTGTTAACTTCTGAGTGGCTATGTCAATGGTTATGACCATAAAGCTGAATAAACAATGCTTTTAAAACTACAATGTCTCTACACAGAATTTTTAAAAATGTTTTATTTTTTTTAAGCAATAAAATGAAAAATCAAGTTGATAAGATTAAGAACAACAATACGCTATTGGTATAGTGGATATTGTAACATGCTTTTATATTATGTCTAATTATATCTATATTATCAACTAAAATGGGAAAAAAATATTCTAAGCATAATATGAAGAAGGGGATGTTGGCATCTGCACTGCAGCAGTGGCTGTGTTTCAAGACGTTGGGCTCGGTTAGTTTCTATTCAAATCATTTTGCTCCTGTGAAATTACAGTATCTGCCCCACAAACAGTTTATAGCTGAACGGTTGGCTGAGATAAGGTATTGTTCCTGCTTTTTGCTCTGAAGATTTAAATGGATACTGAGCCCTCGGCTCCTAGGATAGCCCTCATGAGATTTTTAGGCAGGATAACAGTGGCCGTGCCATCAGGGGGTCCCAGCGGGAACAGGATAGGTTCTACATCCTGGTATATCAGCATTTATCAATTTTCGCACCTACCTGGCCGTTTCGCACCCCACCAAACAAGCTCACGTCCCTGCTAATCTTAACTAGACTAACCTTAACTAGACTAACCTTAACTAGACTAACCTTACAAATTAGAACCTATTTCAAATGTCAAGCTGAATGGGTTCTTTATATCATTCTATGAACTTATTTAATATTCTTCACTCCCATGGTAGGGGGTCTATATTTCCAAATTACAACCTGTTAATCCAGTACATTCTTACAAGGTGGTGTTGACTACATTGATTTTTATATTTCAATTTTATTAGCTCACATGTTTATAAATATAGATTTAATGAAATAAGATATTGTAACTTTAAATTGTAAGCCCCAAGTGACGTTTTCATTAAACATATTTTCATTGCGCTCTATTATCGTCTCAATCCCTGTTATCATCCTCTTCATCATTGAACTCTATATAATTACTGCATTCTCAATTGGTTTGAAATTATTACCACATGTATTTAATCTCGTAGAAGTATCCGGAAGCAGGGCCCATTATAATGAACTCAATGTGTATAATATACAAGTATTGCTTGTTTTAAACAGAAAAAGCCATTCAAACACAAGTAACACTTGTGAATCTTTTAGCAGTCGTGCGTGTTGCTCTGCCGCAAACTTGTGTGGACACGCAAGAAGTCATAAACATCGTTAAATAATAACGCAACTACATCGTCCAAGTTCGTGACAAAGTGACTTTGCAAATAAAAAAATCTATGGCAATCGAAAATTACGTGGAGCGGTTATTATAGACAGGATACAGTTTTATTGTTTTCAAAGGTAGCTAACAATCTAGCATAGAAGCTGCTTGAATATCCAACTTGGCAAAAGTAGGTTTGGTCGACAGAGTTCAAGGGACACACCGGAGACCTAGATTTCTGGAACATGAAGAAACAAAGACCATTGGATACATGAGGTCAAATGGTAAACAATAACTGGATTGAATTAGGCAGATCATATGATGGTGCGATTACATTATTCTCTGTAGGTGTAAGTCTCCGTTAACCTAAATGGCTTGGAGTTCATCAAGTTGACAAATTCACCTGTGGACAAACGGTGCGCGATTTTCACACACCTGGTGAGACTGACAGACTCCGATGCTGCAGCACAGACTCAACATAATTTGTTGAGTGAAATCAAATTATGAATAAGATAATATTGGCCACAAAAATAATAAATCATGTTTCTCAAAAAAAAGGTAAATGAGGCCACTTTTTCCCACTTTTTAACCACAAGGAATCTTGACTCCTTACACACCATAACATTAAGCTATGGTAGCACTGTCCAGGCTATCAAATTATATTTGATAAAAAATAAAATAAAAAATAAAATAACAAGACATGCCTAAATATGGTCATCATGACATCACCAAGGGTGCAAAAAAAAAAATTGAAAAAAAAAATGCTACCTGCAATTTCTATGGGCACCCTGAATAGCTTGGGCTCTGGGGATCTTGCCCTCCCCCTGCCCCTTATCTCGGTGGCCCTGCGTACAACAGCTTTTTGTAAAAAAATATTTGATAATCTGGACTAAGCTTAAGGCCAGGCATGTCTAGACATATGTTTTTTGTTATGATATTAGGATTTAAAAATTGAATTCTGTAAAAAGTAGAATAGGGAATTTCCCATCCCTCTTTCCACATAAAAAAAGGGGATTTCAGATATATAGTGGTATTTACAAAATAATACATACTCTGAGATATCACATGAATAAAATAAAATTATAAATATAATATATAAAATATATAATTAAAAAATCTGCACATTTACAGCTTTATAAATGAGATTACTTATGATTACTTATGATTTATCATTATCAAATAATCTATAATTTGTTGAAAAAATGGAAGTTATAATTCATAAACTTATGAATTAATCAATATTAAATGTAATCAATTCCCATTGCTGAAAAAAAAGAAGAAAATTAGCTTAAGGAAGCTCAAGAAAATATTTTTACAATAACTCAGTGGGAATCAGCTGCCCTATATATCAATATATTAAATACATTTAAAGATATTCCATAAACGATCTATTAAGCGCTTCTCTTGGATAAGTGCCGATCTTTATATAGCACCGCATTAAACATGATATTACACAAAGCATCGATTGAATATCCGCGGCAGCAATTATTAAAACATATTCTATTTTGAATAAGAATGATCACTGTTATATCAAGAGTACAATTACCCAACATGCCTTAATGCTTCATAAGACATGGTTAAATAACTGAATTATGCATATGCATAAGTATAATTATGGGAGGGGGGAAAGGTGTTGATTGGGGGAGGGGGTAAACCATGAAAGTTAAGTTAGGTAGGTTATATGAGGTGACTTTTAACAACTTGAATATAATTTTATTTTTGCTGAGAATTTTCAGTGGGGAGGATG